AAAAGACATACCAACAAAGCTAGACTATTCTATCAAATGTCACTCCTCAACGGAATGGCAAGAACGAGGAGAATTTAAATGCAGTTATAATAAATTAGAAAGTATACTAATGCATTATGTATAAGAAATCGAAACATTTTTATAAAATATGTTGATTAAAATCAAATGCCTAGCAAATGGATCATGCAATGAACCATCGCTATGACACACAACAATAAATAGCAAATGACATCCTTGAATCCATTGATTTCACATATATTTGGGGCTGCGCTCGCCCTTCAGACAGACGTTCTGTGATGTTTCCAGAAACTTCCGGAAGCCGTATCTGCATATGATCATTTTGAAGCATGGTCGTGTTTGGAAGAAGAGCCGAAATCTCTTTAAAAAGTGCATATTTTTATTGAAGATATTCCTCGAATGGTCGCACCGTGAGCCAAAAGACAAAGAAGAATGACTGATACTAGAGTTTTTTCCTACAATAATGTGAACAGATCCCACAAGGCCAGCTAATGCCATTTATAAATGCCTCCAAAAAGGTGTTTTCCTCCCGGATGGACTGCACTTTCAACCGGGGACGTCATTTTTCCTGACCATGTTAATGCACAGGTTGTGTCTATAAACTGAGTTGAAGTACGCAAACAATCCCCAATTTTTGCAAAATATTAATACTACTAACACCAAACTCAGTAGGGTGATTAAATAAATTTGTTACATGCCTTTATGATTGAGAATTCCGGTTGGCACACATCTTCACAATACTAATCACACAGTTGCGGCCTATTTAAATGATTGTGGCCAAAACCGAACTATCCGAGGCACTAAAATATAAACTAGAAAGAGAGTTAAAGTGCAACTACTACCTGTAAGTGAGTAGTATATTGACTCTGAGTCAATTTTGTGTAGAAATGTGTTCAAGTAAGGCCAAAAATAATCGTCTGATGGGAGTACTTTCGCTTTCTTCCACTCAGAATGGAAGCGATTCCAACACTTGTCATTGGCGCACACTGTCCTCTTCCCCGAATTTGACCCTTTCTGGCCAACACGGTTTATCCCATTATTCTGCATTTTGACCTGTTCTTGCGAAGCCGTTTGATCGAGGGTTCCTACGATCCATTCGGTTCGCCGCAGTTTGACCATCCTCAGGCGTCCTGGCTGCGCAATCTTTCGACGCCCGTGAAGACGTACTGGATCGTCTGCAAATTGCTTCAAGCAGATAGACTCGATGTCAACGGAAATTCGTCAAATGACTTTGTCGTTCGGCCGACAAAAGTCCGTCACCTCCTCACCGCAACTGAAGAGGGCAGCCTCAAAAGTCGAAAGTGTCGTCTTCTGGCGAATTCGACCCACGCAAATTCCATCCACACACCATTTTCATACCAACACATCCCGCCTACTCATGTGGTATGGAGGTGAAGATCGCTGATCATTCTCGGATAATCGGTACCTCTTGGAGGGTGGGGCATTTTGATTTCATTTTACTCTTTCGACCTCTTTCGGAGCCAATGAGAAGGCAATAAAAAATACTCTTTTCTAGTCGACCCGAGCCATCGAGAACTGCTTACTTACAAGTAATTGGCCGCGAATTTGCCAGAAAATGCTGGTTTTTATTTCTCTAGTAATGAATCTCACTAAGGGTGAGTTTATGCCCTAGTTTCCTGTACATCCCTTTCAGCTCCGCAACCCTCCGTCCGTCTCGTGGTCCATGGGCAGCCATGCTTCTGCAGTCGTCTCTTCATAAGTTCAGCCCTCCTTCCGCTCACCAATCCACT